CCCCCCTAACATTTTGTCTGCTTTAATGTTTCCCCCACAGGAGAAAAAGAAGAAGGATCCACCGCCCATGTTCGTCAACGTACAGACACTCACCAAAGGCATGGTTTTTGTAAGTTACAACTATAACTGGTCGCTTTTAAACACAAGGGGGCTATCCGGAGAAATGCTGTTTTGAGAAAATCGAAGGTAAAGTTCTTCACCCTTGTTCAGTTTCTTTTAAAAAACAAGGAGAGTTTTCTCTAGAACCAAACAAATAATATACACACCAATGAAACCAAACTTCTCCTATAGGTAGGACAATGCCAACTTTTGGTGTAGGTTAACATTTCCGGAAACCCTTGAAATCTGTGTTAGCCCGCTTGTCTTTAAAAGCTACGAAATGTGTTTTAAAAAGGACATAAAAGAGTTTGAGTAAAAAACAAAAAGTCGATGAGAAATCGTCCAACGGGCGGAAGAAAGTCGGTTTGTTCGAGTTGACTGTTTGGCAAACTGCTATGCAAAGCGTACGGATCGGATCAACGAGTAAATTTCCTCTTTGGAAAGTGGTGGCACAGAGTTCCCCACGTCGTATGGATACGATAGTAAAACACGACGTACGGATAGGGTTAAATAGAAGTCGAGACATTTGCGATGAAGGCGTTTGGGGTCGCCGGTGTCAGATGTAAAATTAGCGAGAAAATGGCCGCCAAAGTTTACCGACTTCCAAAGCTTTAGTGACCTACTTAATTGCAAATTTATATTTGTTGTGCTTTTGATCATCATTTTTCAGCAATTAAAGTGACACAGAAATTATGTCATGTGATTTTAAAGGACAGAAAAAGGTTTGAGTATTTAAAAAAGTCGATGAGAAATCGTCCAACGGGCGGAAGATTGTCGGTTTGTTCGAGTTAACTGTTTGGATGACGCCGGACTCCACCACGATGACACACGCAATCTATACTCATTATATTTTGTGAAAGTTCGTCACTTTGGCCGCCTTAAACTTCCGAACCACTTAATTTGGAGAAAAAAAAACAGTGGTTCAGTTTGTTTGCTTTTTTCTTGCATTCTTTAACAATCAGAAATTGAATTTTGACAAAATACTTCTAGAGTACTTGCAACCGATATGAAAGATTAAGAAATTGCAGTAGACAAAATTTTAAAATATTGCCATTAGAATATCTGAAAAGATGGTCAATAGAATGAGTTACACGACATCTGTTCAGCAACATCTATTCACCTGTTACAGCAGCATTGTTTCGTGTACCCTCCAGTGTCTGTCGGACATTTTCTTCGAGGAGCAGCCTAGCCTCGTGCTAAAGTGAGCAACGGCACAGAATATATAATTCACTCCCTCCCTCACTCACTCACTCACTCCTCCACTCACTCACTCACTCCCTCCCTCACTCACTCACTGTGTACCCCCCAGGGTCTGTCGGACATATTCTTCGAGGAGCAGCCTAGCCTTGTGCTAGTGAGCAATGGCGCAGAATGTATCACGGTCAACAAGAAGTTGTTCATGGACCATGCTTCTCACGCCTTCGTCACTCACCTCAGGGAGGACGTAAGTAGAAACACTCATAATAATAATCATAATCATCATCATCATCATCATCACCATCATTATCATTATCAACATCACACACGCATGGCTATAACAGATAGATCATTTTATCCGTAGAAAAGGTACTTAATACAAAACTTCCGATTTGGTTTAATACTATCGGAGATTAACACGGGGTGCCCACTACGGATAGGATCAGCCGATTGGACGGTCGCCTCAAAAACAAACCGGTTTGTGTTTAGTTTCAGACGACCGAGTCGGGCGATGGGCCCGATCCAGTCGTAGTGGGCACCCCGTATAATGCTAAATTCGGAGGTCCCCCTCTTAATGTTCAAGGAGCGATATACATGCTGCAGGCTGCAATTTCGCACGTTCCAAGATATCTTTCTGCCGTGCAGTCCTGGCATTGAGAAGAATAGGACTGACGTGGTGCT